AGCAGAGAATGGGAGGCAAACAGAAAATTTGTGAGAGTATGGGAGTTGAAAGGGTAGTTGGAGGGAAAGAGATGATTAGGGTAGCGTGTGGTAGTATCCTTGAACGTGTTATGCAAAAATGAGTGATGTTGGGACATCTCTATTTTTGGAAAATACCACCCTTTATGAGTGATAATCCCACTCAGCAATAATTGCTATAAATCTTCATAAATACAAATCCCTAATTTTCCTCTCAAAATTTCAAACTGATTGGCATCCAAAGCTTTAGTGAAAATATCAGCTAGTTGTTTTCTGTAATAACATGCTCTAGGGTAATGATTTTATTTTCAACAAGCTCCCTTATAAAATGATGGTGAATATCAATGTACTTTGTTCTGCTGTGTTGAATAGGGTTCTTGGAGATGTTTATAGCACTTAGGTTGTCACAGTATAATGTCATGACATCTTGTGTGACATTATACTTAGTAAGCATTTGCTTCATCCACACAAGTTGAGAACAGCTACTCCCAGCAGCTATATATTCAGCTTCTGCACTAGATAGAGAGACACAGTTTTGTTTCTTGCTAAACCAAGATATAGGTTGTTTCCCAAAAAGAAGAAGCCTCCTGATGTGCTCTTCCTATCATCAGCACTTCCAGCCCAATCAACATCACAATAGCCAGATAGCACACAACCAGATCCATGAGTGTACAACATCCCATATTCACTTGTCCCATTAATATATTTCAAAATTCTCTTGACCTGATTGATATGACTTATCTTGTGTTCAACTTGATATCTGGCACAAACACCCACAGCAAATGCAATGTCAGGCTTGCTTGCTGTAAGATATAACAAACTTCCTATCATACTTCTGTAGAGACTTTGATCCATATTAACTCCTTTTTCATCTTTTGACAACTTTAGATGGGTAGGTGAAGGTGTTCTTTTGTGGCTGGCATTTTCCATTCCAAATTTTTTAACTATATTCTTGGGATACTTACTCTGAGATAGGAATATAGATTCTTCCATCTGTTTGACTTGCAACCCAAGAAAATAAGTTAATTCCCCAACAAGACTCATTTCAAATTCAAACCGCATTTGCTGTACAAAATGTTGAACCATTTCATTAGACATCCCACCAAAGACAATATCATCAACATATATTTGAGCAATCATGAGTTTTCCCCTTTCTTCCTTGATAAACAAAGTTTTATCTATGCCACCTTTTCTGTATCCGTTATCAACAAGAAACTCTATTAGTATTTCATACGATGCTCTAGGAATTTGCTTCAAACCATACAAAGCGTTCTTCAACTTAAACACATGATTAGGAAAAGTTGGATCAATAAAAGTTGGATCAATAAAACCCTTAGGCTGTTCCACATAAACTTCTTCATTTAGGTAACCATTTATGTATGGCCTTAATGTAATGGAATTCTATTTTTTGACAATATATTTCCTTGTATTGTATGGGCTTTCTTCATAGCATGTTCTTCTCTTATTTTCTTTTTGTGTAACGATGTTGAGAAAATGGACAATGGGTCTTTGAATTGGATCCACATTATTATTTTTGTTGTTTTCATGGGTTTGATATTTTGTAGAAACTTTGGACTTTGAATTGTAATACTCTTTGCACCCTCCGTAATTCTTGAACAATGTCTTTGATCAATTCTCAAATTTTAACATATCCTTAAATCAACTCTTGAGATATCACTGGAAAAGTGAATCAGACTTGACTTAATTTTGAACTAAGTGGCATGCTTAATTTAAACTCCAAGAATCATCCTTGAAAGTAAGTTTCATAATTTTGAACTCTCTATTAAAATCAAGTTGATCATGAACTGAAACCTTAAATCAATCTCTGATGAATGACACCACAACAACTGAATCCATCTTAAAATGATCTTGGACTGAATAGCAAACTTGAATTTTCCTTGAACTCATGACAAGCACGTGAATCACATGACTAGGAAAAAATAGTATTACATTGAGAAAAAATATCATTAATATTACATTGAGAATGTAAGATGATTTATAATTTAAAATAATTTTTTTAATAAAATGACTTATAATTTGAGGCTGAAAAAATACTCGACATCTTTAAATATTCTCAATGATTCACACTCAAACATCGAAACTCAATGTTGATTTCATAATCACGAGGGAACTCAAATGTTACCGAAAAGCTAAGAACGGGTCCAGCTTCTTCTTCATTATGACAGGGAGTTCATTGACAGTCAAGAAATAATTCTTTGTTTCTCTATAAGATTATCTGCATCCAAATCCTTTTCAAGACCTTCAGCACCCCATCTTCTATTGGATATGTCGTGTCATCTGTAATCCAAAAGAGTAGAAATGAAAGCAAAATTTGATGTGTCTTTTCATCTTGTCTCTAATTTGAATAATGTTTGAAAATGTAAATAATGCAAGCAAAATAAAACAGCACAGCTTAATGTAATGGATGTCCAAGTTAATAATAATTTTGTAGCTGAAAGCTATGCATGGCAGTTCTGAGCTTTTAAATGCTATTGATGTTTTCGTTATTCAGATTATCATTTTCAGCTTGCCAAACTTTTCAATTCAGCTTTGTTTTCACCATTAACATTACTAAAATGCTTGGTAGCTGGTGCATACATTCAATCTGCGGGAAATAAATTTTAGAATGTCCAAGAAATAAAGAAGCAATGATTGTTTAAAAAAGCAATATTTTCCCTCCAATAAAAAAATCAATTTAGGTAATAAAGCAATTGTATCACATCCATCCATGTTTTGAAATTCAAGCCTATTAATAAAACAATTTACTTTAATCCACCTTGTTCTCTAATAAAAGAGTCTTTAGTAATAACTTATAAAGCACAGAGACCTTAAAAATAATCTGAAATACAAACTTCGACAGACACCAAGACAAGACACGCTGACACCAACAATGTTAAAAACATAAAATAATACCCCTATGATAGTCTTTGACCTTCTATTCAAATTTTATGTCTTTAACCTTTCACGTATCAATTATCATTTTCTGCTTCGATACTCTTTAATCCTTTTAAATTAAATGTTTCATATTTTTTTCAAAAAAATGCTGTCAAATAGCACCTCTACAACCTAATAACATAACGGTAATAGGGTTCAGCACGACACTTTTGGTGTGTCACAAGCCATCGTGAATAATAGCGGCAGTGACCCAAACCGCTATCACAACTGCTATTGCATCCTCTGAGAATTTTCGAGATAAATTTCTCAAATTACTTTTTAAAATTGTTGTCTATTTTCTAAGGGTATATAAATTTCAATCTTAACCCATTGAAGAGTAATGTTATGCTCAAATAATTGTTCTCTTCTTCCGACATTTAGTTTAGATTTGTTTTATTATTCTTATTTGCTTAAGTTTTAAGCCCTTTGTTCTTATTTATTTATAAATAAGAAAAACTTTATTTTCTAAATTCATTGAACAGATAATGTATCTATAAACAATGTATCTGAACAAAATATAAACAAGAGACATTAATAATTAAATGAATCTAAAATACAAATTCTTTTTCTTATAAATGGAAAAAGAGGTAGTATTACTCTATACTTTAGATTCTTTAACTATTACTCTATACTTAAGTATGATGATCTCTTTATGAGTGTATATAAATGTCGGAGACTAATTCAAAGAGATGCGAAGCAAAGAAAAAAAAATCATTTTTAAGACATTTGTCTTAGTTTTCTGACATGTGTCGTAGTCATACAAAATGTCAAACACCAACACGTGTCAGACTCTGGTGACACACTTATTCTTAATGTTGTTTGTGCTTCATAGGTAGTAATATCCTTAAATCATAAGTACTTTATTTCCAGAATAATTTGCTCAGTAGAAACAGAACAAAAAAGTGGAAAGCATCAGACAAAATGCTATGATAGGGAAAAACACAGTTAAACTTGTGGCAACAGAATATGCATTGAGAATACTAACTCAAAAGGATAACAGATAATATATCACAAATAAATCATTTGTCCGCATATTTAATCACCATTATGTGTGCACTGCATATGTAAAATAACAGAAACATTAGAGGGGAAAAAAGTGAGATCAACCTTAGTTTTTTATATGACCTTTACCACGACTCGTTGACAACTACAGTACCATTGCCCCTGTCTGTCTTAAGCTCCCTCTAGTAGGTTATGAACCGCACAAAAAATGATAAGACACAATAGGAAGCATTTAATTTTTGAAGCTTTGAGAGCATGTTTTGATCAAACTAGCAAACTATAGAAGTCATGTGCAATAAATGGTGGGTTAGGCCCAGATACTTTCTCATGTTCAGCATTTAAGAAATTATCAAAATTCATACACAATTCAATACAATCTGAAAGTAGATTAGAAACTACAGAAGAACATTAATTTTTTGTTTTGGTCAATAAGATCAAATTATATCAAACATTTTGATCCAATCATATTGTCTCAATTGAAAATACAAAACGAATAAAACCTATAAGACAATGACCAAAATCAAAGAAACGTTGTCTCTCTATGATAAGCAAGTTACTTCATACTCGGCGATTTATGACAATCCAAACAAAAAAAAGGTCACATTTAGTTTAGTGGAGCATCATTCGAGGGAATGGAATTGGAATTAGAGTGAAATGGAATCATTGGCCCGTCTGACAAATTTGATTTGATTTGATTTAGAGCAAAATAACTTTTCCACGGCATCCCTATGGTTAGTGTAATAAATTAAAACAGTAGAACAAATTAAAATTTCAAAAAGACTGCCCAATAATAAGAAATACCTGGCAAGTAAATTATGTTAGTAATTCATACAAGATCTAATTCATACAAGATAGAGATCGATAAGGAAGTTGTATTAACCTGGTCAATGTGATTTTGACAATTGTGGATAAATTACCCTCTTATCAAGGAGGAATTACATTTCCCCACTGCAAGTCTCCGAGAATAATAGTACTGGATATTTGCAGAAAGTGTCGGTCCAAATTGTAAAGTAACGCAGTACAACGCACAACATAAGAAATTACTACTATGCACTTGCCGAAGCACATGAATAATCTCCACCATCAGGTAACAAGCCATCATTGGCCATTTCTGTTAGCATGGTTAAAACAGCATCCATGTGACCTTCTTTAAAGTTAATTTCAACAAGTGCTTTGGGTAGCTCGGCATCATTGACCGTACAGCTGCTCAATGTATTTTGCATTACCGAACTCAGCTCATCATTCATCCCATCCTTTGATAGAGCTTTAATGAGAGAAATTACAGTCACCATATGAGAAACAAAACCACAACGCACCATCTCTGCATACATATTATATGCCTTACGAGCATTACCACGTCTACAATGTCCGTGTATCATCAAATTATAGACAGCTCCATCAGGCTTAAAATTCCTCTGATGCATTGTCTCAAAAACTCGATCTGCTTCATCCATTAAACCCTTCATGCAGAATCCTTTGACAAGACCTACCACACTCTTAAATTCATTATCACTGCAGTTTTCTATCAGAGTATTGTACGTCACATCATTTGGTACAGACTCATCGTAGAATAACTTAAGAAGAAGCTTCTTAGCTTCTCTTGTCCTAGCTTTCTTATTAAGTCCGTTAATAAGTACACTATAAGTAACAACATCAGGCAAAAAACCATTCTGCATCATTTCATCATGCAAATCAAGAGCTTTACTCAATTCACCTTCAACACAATAACCATTCATCAAACTAGTATAAGTAACCTCATCAGGCGATAAACCTTGCCCCAACATATCTCGGAAAAGATCAAAAGCTTCTGACTGTTTCCTTTGTTGACATAAACCTTGTATGAGCAACGAATACGTCACAGCATCAGGCAATATGCCCTTCTCAATCATCTCCACCTTCATTTGAAAAGCTTTTCCCAGCTCCCCATGTCGGCAAAACAAAGATATAATAGTACTATAAGTAACGACATCAGGAAACAAACCCTTATCAACCATACCCTTCAAAACTTCAACAGCTTCCTCAGCCCTCCCTAAGAAACAAAATCCATTTACAAAGGCATTATAAGTAACAACCGTAGGTGAAAATCCACTATCAATCATTTCACTCAAAACCTTATAAGCTTCATTCATTAACCCTTGCCTACAAAACCCATCAACTAAGGTTGTAAAAGTTCTTTCATTAGGACTAAGTCCCCTAACACGCATATGATCCAAAAGCTCCATCGCGCGACTCAAATTCTTAACCTTACACATACCATTAATCAAAGTAGTATAAGTAACAACATTAGGCGACAAACCCTTACCAGCCATCTCATGAAGAAGAACAAGCGCCTGATGAAAATTCCCGGCTTTACAAAACCCATTCACAAGAGTGTTATAAGTAATACAATCAGGACTCAAGCCATTCAAATTCATCTCCTCAATCACTTCCATCGTCTCATTCATCCTCCCTTGACTACACAAACCATTAATAATAGCATTGTAAGAAATCAAATTAGGCTCAACCCGGTTGTTAGCCATAATTTTCAACAAACCAAACGCATCCTCGAGTTTATTCTCTTTACAATAAGCAGTTATCATGGTGTTATAAGTCACCACATTCGGAAAACAGCCTTTTGTCTCCATCTCACGAATAAGACGGAGACCAGACTCTAAATTCGCCGCGGAAACCATTCCGCGGATCATTACATTGTAAGTATATATATTCGGTGACACATTGTTACGAATAATGTCATTGAAGACACGGTTAGCTTGCTGAATTGATAACCGGTCGGACCCATTCCGGAGTATTGCATCGAGGATTGAGTTATAAGATAACACTCCCGGGGAGAAGCCGTGGCGGTTAGCGAGGTGGAGAGTCTGAATGGCGTTTTCGATTAGGTTAAGTTGGGAATATGATTTTATTAGTAAATCGAAAACGGCGGAAGATGAGTTACATGAGCGGTAGGTTTGTTTAAGGAGATTGAAAATGATGGAAGCGGTGTGGTTTGAGGATGTGATGAGGTTTTCAGCTAGGGTTTGAGCGGTTTTGAAGAGGTTGAAGCGGGTGAGGATGTGGAGGGTTAGGGTTTGGCAATGGGGGGTGAAGAAAGGGTGGGGTTTGGAGTTAACCCAGTTGAGGAAATTGAGGATTAAGGGCTTGTTGTTTTGGGAAGTGAGAAGAAGGTAGGTGGCTGCTTGGGGAGTGAAGTGAGGTGAGAGTGATGGGAGGTTTTGTGGGTGGCGTTTTAGGTATGTGATTGCTTTGTTAGCCATGATGGTGTCTATGGGTGAAATTGAGAGGTTGAGATTCGGGGGTTTCATTTTTGGGTGGTGCCGGTGGTCAGTCACCGCCGCGATACTAATCCGGAGATGAAGTTGTTAGTACCGGTGCTTTGCATACTAATGATCGGAGTCAATTAGGATCTGACGTGGTCAAGGTGTTCAGAGAGATAAGAGTTTTTTTCTATTAATTTTTATTATTACTTATCCATGAATTTGTTTTTAATATATTAGGGTCTGTATGGTTTAAACGAGGGGGGAGGGGAGAGATTTTAATAAAGGGGAAGGGAGGGGAGGTGAAGAATTTTTTTAATAAAATAAGTGTTTGGTTCAAAAGAGAGGAGGGAAGGAGAGGGGAAGGGAGGGATTTTAATTAAAAATATGTTTGGTTCAGAAGGGGAGGGGAGGAGTTTTATTAATAATTTGCATTTTTATCTTTATGATCTTATATAAGTCATATGATATTAAAATGTGAAAAATTCATTCGTATTTTTGTTGGTAATAAAATTTCTAATATTGAGTGATTAAAAAAATATTTATTTGTCACATAAAGTTAAAAAATTGAGTACAATTTATTCGACTTATAACTTTCCAACATAAATTAAACTATATATCGTTTAAATTGTGATGAATCATATAACAAAACAAATATATAAAATAACTTATTATTAAATATTAATAGTTCAAAATATTTAATAAAATAAATAAACAAAAATAAATAAAATAAATAGTTTACAATTTGATATATAAGAAAATATGATAGAATACATAACAAAATTAAAAGAAAAAAATGAATATAACTAAACATAATTTTTTTTTATAAAAAAAAAAGACAATGATTATGATTTATATTAAGTATAGAAATTATAAAATAATTTGAAGGTGAAGAACAATTATAATAAGTTGATGGAAACAATCGAGAAAAAACAATAACACGAAAGAAAACGAATAGTTTTGAAATATTGAAATTAAACTGAGGATATTTTAGTAAATATAATAATTTTTAAATATCAAAACTTATATTCCCTCCCCTCCCCTCCAAATCCCCCCAATTCGGAGGGAACCAAAAAATGTATTTTGGAGGGATTTTGCTCCCCTCCCCTCCCCTCCTAAGATTTGAACCAAACATATTTAATTAAAAATTTCCCCTTCCCTCCCCTCCCCTCCATCTACCCCGAACTAAACACACCCTTAAGGCTAGCACAAAGGGTAATAAAAAAGAGGAAGATAAATTAAACTATCTCAAGATTCTTAAGGTTATGATTGGATCGATGGAATATAACATAATGGAGCGAAACATAGTGTTGAATAATAGAGCAGAGTAAAATGAAATATATATCATACTTCATTATTTGATTATTTTATTAAAAATATCTCATTCTATCACATACACCGTAAATTGGGTGAAACAAACAAAATGAGAAATTAGATGGAATGAATTTCGTCATGTTCCATTCCATTCGTCCATTATTTGCAAATCCAAACAATGAGATCACATTAGTTACCAATCCACTCTATTTCATTTCATCTCATACCGTCAATCCAAACATATCCTAAAGGATTTGATAGCCAGGCAACTTTAGAACAATCTAAATGGCCTTTAAATCTAACACTAAGTCAATCTTAAGCTAACGACTTTGCTACTAGAATAATTTCATGACTCTATTTTTTCCCACCACTAAAAAGAATATCATTTTTAACCAGTCAAACAACCCTTGCAATAGTCAGCCAAATGAGAATTCTGCAATTTCTCTCCGCACTTACCTGCATGGCAGTGTCAAAATACAACAAATGGTCAAAAATATCAAAGCAAGAACTAAACCTGCACACCCAACCAAATATAGAATATAGGACTAAACCTATTCAACAATAATACACTCAATAAACAAATGACGATGGGACTATTGAGGACCAAGACATAACGGACACACGAGATTATGCACACCTGAAATAACTCTCAGCTTTGCAAGCCCATCTCTTACTTAAAGTCTATTGAGGAGCAACCTCTATGCAAACACTTAGATGTTACTATGGACATTAGACTTCCAAACACACTTCAAAGCTAACTTCAAATCAGTACTCGGTAGAAAATTCATAATAATGAGAGAATTTAATATGGAGGGTGCATATTTAACAGAGAAACCACTTGAGTCACACTACCACACAAACTTATCCACCAAATCTGGAACAGAGGAAAGATGATTCATGATGATGAGAAGATTATCCCATTCACAGCTTGTTGGCTCCGATAACAGCTCAATGTTTGAACACGCACCATATCCAGTTGCCATCTAACCAAGAACCTATTTCACTAATCTTGAGTCTTGACCCTTGAACAAATACCATAGTCCCTACAAAAATTAATATCGACTTCCAAAACAAATACTATCTACATTTCAAGACCTAGAATATTCCTTAAATCCCTTCATCATAATAATGATTTCAAATTGTTGATGGAGAAAGATGGATCGAGAATTAAAGCCTTGATATTACCGTATTTAAATGATAGCACTTTATGCTAAATCGAATCTTCCTATGATATAATCTTCCAGGTCCATTTACTCAATAATGCACTATTAAATAAATCACAATGTTTAATACCTACTTCATCTTTTGAAGTACAAATTGTAAGCCACGCCACCCAATTGATCCTTATATGATTCTCTTCACCATTCCACAAGAACGCTCGTTGTATCTTGATGAACTCTTGAATGACCACTTTAGGTGCTTTGTAAAAGGAAAAAGAAAAAAGTGGATTTGCATTTAGAACTAAGTTAAGCAATGTCACTCTTCTTTCAATAGAGGCAACTTTTCCTTTCCAAGAGCACAATTTATTCCTTATCTTAAAGAGAATCGAAACCCATGAAGAGTGTTTTCTAGGATTGCACCCAATCGGAATACCAAAGAAAGAAAACAAAAAGGAATCATTGGGTGAGAATATGGACACAAAAAGGTTTAGAAGAAGGGGTTGAATAGACCTATCCCTAAAAAGGCAATTTGAAAAGCATTTTAAGTCCCATAAACGAAATCAGAGATTTTAAGAAACGCATAAGCAGAGTACAACACTAAGAGAGTTTGGAAGCAGTTCAATGAATTAAACCAACTAAATTATTACAAGATATCACTAAGGACTTGATTACTTTGAATACAAGTTGTTGCGGTGAGAATCGTGATACCAAGCTATTGAATTAACTTGAATCTTTAATTCTTAGATTACAACTGGACTTTAATTTATCCAAAGGAAAGGTCTAAAGAAAGAAAAACCCTTTTCGCGATGTAACAACAACGCTAAGAGATTCAGGGATCGGGGGTTGGTTATGCCTAGGGTAGGTATTTCACATCCTAAACATCTGTAGTACTCTACAGGAACCTTTTGTTTGTTTGCATGCTAGGTTGGTAAATGTTTGCTAAAATTTGGAATTGGGTAAAGGGTGTAGGTTAAAACCTAAAGATAGCTTCTAAGTTTGCTCGCAAAGACATCGCGTCCTCTGCCTATGTATCCTAACTAGGATAGAATCAGAGCAATCGTAGTTCACCTCACTAGGGTTAAAGAACACTTGGTTATGATCAAGGTTCAAAGGGGAACAAACATAACAATGTTTGTATAGAGTTTAACAAAACTCTCTAGATCTATGTTGAACTCTCAAGAGAGGAGTAAGTAATCATTACTATGATTCTTACATAGAGTTTAAAAACTCTATCCTAGGGTTCTAGTTGAAGAACACTCCTAGCAAAGGTGGGTATTTTAGACTCAAAGCAAAGTCTAAGGCTTAAATGTTCTAACTTAACTAAGTTAGGGTTAGGATGACTTCACAAAGTCAAGGGAAACGGGTAATGAGCTATCCAATGACACAAGGGTCAAGGGAGAGACTTTTCCTTTGGAAGGATAGAGAGAGACAACTTGGATGAGAACTAAAAAGTTCCATCACTTGGGGAAAGAATACTTGACAGAGCAAATGAATAAAGTAAGATGAAGAAGATTACAATCAAGTAGGCATGCATATTACAATAAGCAGATACTTCAAACAAACACCAATGGTTACAACCGGTAATCAAATATCTTTAACAAAGATGGAAGCATAGTCTTAACAAAGATTGAAACATGATTAAGGTAACAACCATGTAAACAAATCACAATTTGAAAGCATGTCATGAACTTAAGATATATCAAGTGTAACAACAATATGCTTTGATGACAATCAAACACAAGCAAATTAGTTTAACCTCATAACTTAGGAGGAAAATAAAATGAAGTCATGGTGACAACCAAAGGAGTGTAAACCCTAATATGTTAACTAACATGGGATGCAAAAATCTCACAAGAAAATTCAAGCATATTCAAAGGGAATTCAACAGCAAGTAAGATAACGATCTCAACAAATGAATAGATTTCCATATAGACAAAAGACATCACAATTAATAACAACATGTAATATTTTTTACATCCTATGAAAATAGACCTTAAGACAGGCATGTTGCAAAAAGAATGAGTTCAAAAGGATAAAAAATGGCAAAGATATGAATTTTTGAAGTTTCATGTACAAATCATATTTAACAAAAAAATAAAATAAAAATGCAAGGGGTGGGAGTTGAACCCACGCCCCTCAGCTTGTACATGCGCGCATAAAAAAAGAAAAGAGAACAAAAGGGTTGATCCTCCTCAGGGATCGAACCCAGGTCTGGCTAGTGAAAGGCATGTTTGAGAGTAAGTTGATTACCACTGGGGTGGCTATACATCCGTTGATATAGCCACCCCCATAAATATATAAGGTGTGCTTTCAAGGATTTCTGGGCAAATATGAAACAACAAGAACAAGCATGATCATGGTTGCATTTTCATTCACAACTTGGCCAAAACTCAACCTTTTTCAACAAAATTTAGGTCTAAACTGAGTGGAATTTAACAAGGAATACAATGGTATCCTTGGTTTTCTTTGAAAGGGTCTGCATTTTAAAATTCGATGGTAGTTGCAAAAATGGAATGAAGATGCATTTTCAAGGTCAATGATCAAACCAGACATGCTATAATCAGGAAGAGGGTT